TCTACGTTTAATCATAAGGTTTTCTAAACAAAATCAAAGTTCGACTTTCATACTTTCATACTTACATAAAATAAAAGATAGGTTAAGTATTACTTATGAGAAAAAATATTTCTGAATTGTATAGTTTTTCCCTATTTACACAAATAAGCTTGCAAAATATATTTCTTCCAGGCTTATTTCGTTTCCTTTATTAGCTCGTGGAACGAGCACATGTTGAGTTTTTTCTCGTTAACCGAATATCATTGTCACAGTATTCCATGTGTAACGTACGTGTTTGTCATTACATACGAATATGATATATGTATTTTCCGTTTGTCTATAATGTATCTAATAAATTTAGGGTGATTCTGATCAAACTTCTACTGGTATCATATTGAATACGTTTTTATGACTAATTTTACAATTAAGCATCTACTCACTTTAATTACTCAATTTATAAGAATAAAATCATTGTTAGTGGTAATACCTAAAGCCCCTAAAACTTGCGTACCGTAGTTTGATTACGAGGATAATTGATGACAAGTTAGTAGTTGTGCTAAAGTGGACCCAAATTACATTGTTTCATAATTGTATTTTGATAAAAGGGGGCGGCAAAATAGAGCGTTCGGGGTGCCCTGGGATCTGTGGCCCGCAGGCCGCGACCACATCAACCCTGTCTTTCTCAAGCTTCCGAAACTCCTTCACCACCAATGTCAATTACCTGAAACGAAGGTAAGTCCCTAGTTCGCATGTTAATTTTATTGTCTCGTTACTATACTTCTGGTTTTGGTGTACCTATAAACTGTAATGCATGACTTGATTGAAGCCTTTTACAGTCTTTCCATGTATCTTGTGATGATTGTTTTATTTATGTTTTACCTCTACCTGTCTTAAACGGATGTCAGATTTCAAACAATCTCTTCAGTAAAAATGTGTTAGACGGTAGAATTTGAAACTTAAAGATGTATTATTGCCTTAATATTTTCTAATCTTTTATTTGGTTCATAAATAGTTCAGCTAATTTGTTATTATATTTACAAGTTGGATTTATAAATTATGTTTTATATGAAAATTCAGTTTATAATTTAAGGATAAAGCAAAATTTATGACACCGTAAAAAGCCCGAACCGCTTCACCGCGCTGCTTCCACCCCTGTCGGCACAAGCCTCCCTTGTACCCCGCGCCCCCCACCCTCCGGCTCCTGACCCCCGCTCCACTTTACATACCGTGTAGCACCACTCATCAGCCTCGACTGTGATTGTATGTGACCATTTCACTGCTGCTACTTGTTGTCGTTATTATCTTACAACAAATAACAGTTCTGACTACCTGCATTCGGTGCATGGCGCTTTCCTCCGATGTCATTGTCGTGATTCGATGTTGCTGCTAAACAAATAATTGTTACAGCTGGGATATCGTTTATTTCTTTAAAACTTTAAACTGTTATGTTCACTCCGACGGAATAAGATTAACAAATAATATAGAATAAGCTTCTCAGTTGTCAGCACTGTAGGAGATCATTCCGATTTAGTGAGCTTGATGGCAATGATGGCAGTGTTCACGTTGATTGGCGAGTTGTTAAGGTTAGGTGACCATGAGTGGCTACATTGTGTGTGTCGATTTTGTCCCTCCTCTGCGTGTCCCTGTAACTTGGCGCGGCGTGGCGGTGGCGTGCGGCGTGTAGTTCAGTGGAGGCGTTGCGCAGATTCAGCTCGGGGGACCTGCAATCCGAGTGTGATGAAGGCGAGGTGGACCCATACACCGGCCGGCCGGCCACCACCAGCCAGCCGAAACCGCAGAGTCAAAGGCCGACCTCCCAGGGTAAGCTATCCACTAACAAATCTAGAAATATTTCAGAATGTGATAAAGTAATTTATTCATAACATACAATAATGAAGTTAACTTGATGATATCTTGTCAGGTAAAAATAATGAAAATCCGTACACAGCAGATAAGTACATTTATTCGAAATAAAAATTAACGATTTGTATGCTGAGAACTGTTTATTTGAACATAGCCACCGGGGGCAGCATTGGCAGCGCGTCGGGTCCTCCTCCGGCGCCGTCTGCATCCGCGGCAGCTGCGGCGAGCAGTGGAGGGGATCTCTCGCTCAACCTGCGGGGAGGATCGCGCGGGACATCCGCACCTTCCTCCCCGGCCAAGTCCCGCGAGTCTCTTCTCCAACGAGTACAATCTCTCACTGGCGCCGCAAGAGATCAAGGCGCCAATTTATTAGGTAACGTATGTTTACAGCCTTTCCCAAGGGACCCGCTTTTACAGTCGACTGCCTCTAAATTTGGGTTTTATCTTCATAAGATATGGCTTGGGAAATGGGGAACAGAATTATAAATGAAGTAAAAATGTGTGTCATTTTTACGTGTGAAATAATATAAGTACTGATTAAATCAGCCTGTTGATAAGTTAAACACTGGAATTGGGGGAAAATCGTTAGTTATTGCTGCCCTGTTTTTAATAGTTTTACTAAAAACAGCTCTACCTGTTCAACTTACGCATCTTCTCCTCTTCTCCAGCGCTCTTGAGAATTTCGTCATTATCTTCAAGATTTCCCCCATTGATAGTAATCTTCGAGTGTGTACAAATACGAGCTTTGCAGCTCATTAAATGATTTCTTAGGGAGTGTGACGTCTGTGGCGTCTGTTGGTCGTGGCTACAACCGAGACCGATGTGTGACGCTGCTGGTGGTGGATGACCAGAATACCGACTGGTCTAAGTACTTCAGAGGTCGCCGTCTGCCTGGCGAGTGGGATATCCGCGTCGAACAAGCTGAATTTAGGGTAAGTACCACTAAGTGCATTAGAAACAAACCAATAAGGTTGGTAAGTATTTATTATGAACTAGTGTTCTAAAAACCGTGATAGCCAACGGGCCCCACATGACGTGCTGATCAATTATGTAACCTCTTCACAAAAGAGGTGTTGTAGAACAAACTATTGCAATATTCAGGCACGCTGCCCACCGCCCGTGTCAACGTCACGTGTGTTACCCTCAACTTATTAATTATTACCAACATTTAACCTTCTCCTACAGCGGCCATGAAATCTTTTTATAACATCTTTATGAGATGCTCATGATATGGGGCCTCGTTTTAACAGATCCTGTTGCGAAATAATGGCGCATTGTTGTTGAAAATACTTAATGTTATGGCCTAATTATGACATCTTTGCATAGCTGTAGAATATTTCGCTTAAATGAACTTGATTTTAACAACTTCATCACAAACAAGTTGAGGTTGTAAACAATACTTTTGGGAAAATTGTATCCCCTCATTTATTATAATACTCCCTTCTTTTTCTTCAGAGAATAACAAGCATCAACTTATATTAAAGCCAATTACAACATTCAATTTCATTTAAAAAATCTTCCTTTACAAAAGTCTTAGTACGTATTTAAGTAATTCTCAAAGGGCAAAGAGTATCAAAGTTGGGAGCTTAAGTCAAAAGGGATAATCAAATCGACCCGTTGGCGTTCCTTTATTAGGAGCTGCCAGCAATTTGTTGTATAACTTGAATCGTTTATTCGGCACAGGAATTGACTGTGACGGCCAATTCTGACGGAGCCAACGTATCTATGGCGGTTTATCGCAGCGGAACCAAAGTGACCCGATGCTTCAAGTAAGTAATTCAGTCATTAACGTATTTAACTAATATTCCTCGCTACATTTTATCCAAGAACAGACTGAGACAATCTCGCCGCCAACTTACTTAATTAAGAAACGCTCATTTAAAATTCTAACACAAATAAGTATTACTCAGGGAATTTGTAAGAGGACGGTAAGTAATATAATTAAAGTTCAAATGGAGATTTAATAATGAAATTTATAATCTCGCAAAACAATCTAATTACTTAGATTGTAAGTTGAACGATGAGATAATCTAAGTGGAAAACAAACATATGAACATGTTCTATTTATAGATGAACCGTTTTGATGACTCAAGCGGAGTATGAAATGATAAACAGTATATGGAAGTTTGTAACAACTTTTGTTTGCGTTGTCTTTTCTGATTGAAGTGTGGGCGCTGTACAATTTACATAATAATAGAGAGCCAATAACTAAGTTTGTTCAAACTTGTGTAAACTACTTCCTCTCATGGTTGGTGCTTAGAAAAATATTTGTATACTGCCGTCACAGGATGACTACTATCGATAGAGCTTCTATTTGAATGTATTAGGTAATTCATAGTCAAATATTTCAGAGAATTATTAATATTGAAATTGGAATAGCTAGTCTGAAAAGAATTAGAATTAGTTGCGTTCATTACGGTCTGTTTTCTTTTAATTCTGTGTAGATGAAATATTTTTTTTACTTCTATTCCTTCTTTGTTCTTTAACCTTTCCCTTTTAAAGACTTCATTAATTTTTTTTACGTATTCGATTCAGTCAATGTTAATTACTTTATATCTATTATACATCTGTCTACTAGGCCTGACTTCGTGTTGGTGAGGCAGAATGTCCGAGACGCAGGGTCTGACCACCGAGCCTTGCTTCTTGGTCTCAAGTTCGGCGGCGTACCTTCCATCAACAGCCTAAACTCAATCTACCACTTCCAGGTAATTGAATAACTTCCACCTTTGTTTATTCCAGTTACTCACGTAATAACTAAATAGATTTAGACTTTATTGTTATACGATAAAGTTGATAATAGTCTATTGAAGATATTCGGCAAATTAGGGTACATTTATATTTTCCGTACAAACTTAAATTAGATGAATAATAATATACGTTCTGTTTGTTTAGGACCGTCCTTGGGTATTCGGTCATCTCCTCCAGTTACAGCGGCGTCTCGGCAGAGAGAACTTCCCGCTCATCGAGCAGACCTACTACCATAACCACACTGATATGGTAAGTACCTGATTAAACTCTGTATCCTTGTTTTTGTTTAGAATATCTGCACTAATATTGGCGTAGGAGCGGACAGGTCACAACGGTGCAACATTGCGGTTAAAATTTTCCAAGGCACTCTATATGTTTCTAACATACCAAGGTAATTCAAAGACTACAGGAACTGTTTCAATTTCTTTATTTTAACCTATTTATCACTATAATTAGTTAATTTACAATCATTAACTTAAAAATAAATAATACAAAAATAACGTTACAACTATATTCGTCTAGGAAGACAAACAACAATTTAGAAGCGTCCAAAAGAAAAATCACAAATTAACAATTTTCGAAGACTTGCAACCAATAAATTCGTCACATTGCCAATAAAGCTAATTTAACTCCACAGTTCATACACACAACATTCAACTAAATAACTTAACGTCGAAAATGAATCTAATGTTATTAAAAATAATGTTTGGTTTAGTATTAACAGCTGCTCTGTTGCGTACGATTAGTAATGGGTGTGAATGATTTTGTAATTTTTCACGAGGACGACGTAATGAGATGTTCAAAAGGTACATTTTAGAGTGAACTTGTGCATCGTAGTGGTGAATCAAGTCATAGTGCCATTGTGGCGCGTCGCTTGGAGGCACCTCGTGAGAGCGGGAGCCCTGCAACATAAATACACACGTGTTGAGTGACAAGTAGCAGCACACGTAGCACCACCAACACTAACTGTGCTGGTCGAGGCGAACATCAAACGCGCGCCTGTTTACGACTGTAACGTGTTCCCCATATTACAAACGCACAGTGACAACGTAGGTGTTTATTCGATTTTAATACTGTTTGAAACGTGAAACCTTCTGCTTTATATTAAGGATTTCTTGAGTATGTATAAAATAGCTCTGAATGGGAGCATAAAAATGTTCATTGTGTGCGTAATCCGGCTTGGCACATGGAGTGCGAATTAGTAATATGCGTCAAGGTTGCTTATGAAATTTATTGTTTACGATTCGTTTAATGTAGTAATTAGAGAGTTTTAGGTACCATGGTTTATACTTTTGTTATTGTTTCCTTGTTCGACTTAGGAACCTACAATTATTTACAGGAAAAAGTGGGGGACGTTTCTATATTTGTAATTATTATTTACACAATGACTACTTTAACGTTAGTAGATGTGTAACATAAAACAGTACGGTCTATTCAAAGCTCATTACGTTTCTAATTTCAGTAATTATTGTCACATAAATCAAAAATATAAAACGTCATAACACACAAAAAGTGATTATATTTACCTGGTCCAGCGGCACAGGCGCTCGCGGTCGTGTAGACAGATGCCGTGTCGCTCGTAGCACTCGTTGTAGCCTGTCGTGCAGGCGTTCGGAGACTTGGACCGCCGTCGATTCATGTGGACCTGCCATAATTACCATGTTAATCACCTTTTACTTACACAAAACTATGTATTAATAGATTACTATATATTTCCGTAGGTAATGAAAAAAAGAAATCCTTGCTACGCCACATCGTAGCTTTTCATAGCATATAAATCTAACCAACAAATAAATCCGATTTCTTATTTTGCCCAGATCAATGGCTATTTGATCACCCTAATCCTTAATAACGTATATTGAATTTTATAAATCGGTTTTACATAAGTAATCTTCGCTAGCCGGCATTTACAAGCAGTACGCATAGATTGGTCGATGTAGTCGTTGAATATCAATAAGCTGTGACTTGGAAGCTGTAATGTATGCTTGACTCAGAAAAATATTCGTCTAACATGAGTGATACGATTCGGAAAACGAGAGAAGAAAATAAGGAAATTGGTTCGTATTTCGAGAAACGAATAGTTCCACATACATTTTCTTTAGTTACTGCTATTTATGCATACGTGGTAACCGACTGCAAACTACTTGTTTACCGTTGCTTCTAGTTTTAAATTTCAAATAACTTTTATACTACGGTCTGCGAGTTAAGCCAACGGAGATTGTGAGGTATCTTATACCAAACTTATTGCATGTTTTGCGTTATCTTTGGAATTAAATGCATACTTTGTATGTATTCCTTGGTTGCTGTGGGAAAGTTTAAAACTTATGCAGCTGTTTGGTTGAAACTCAAAATTCGATCTTTCAAATTCTACCACAAGTCGATAACTTACTTTGCAAGTACAACCCTGTTTGTAGAGAAGACGGAATCCTTTTCTTTGGCGAGGAGTGACATCACGCCATTTGCTGACAAAACCACACAAATGCACGTGAGCTTCCAAGTGTACTACTCGACCTGGAACACGGAAAGACAGAATTATGATACATTTGTAGCTTTTGTTGAGGTGCGCTAATAACCCGTCAAAGTCGTTTCATCATAAATCTTCCACGTAGCCGACTTGTAACAAAATAATAAATGAGTTTTCTTTATTCTACGTAGAAAGAACATCGTAACTCAAAGTTTACACGAACGTCCCTATTTTACATTTCTTTTATGGCGAATCCTTTTATGCCTTCCAATTCTACCCACCAGGTCCATTTGGAATCAGGACAATTTTCCAATGAATAAATTATTCGGACAAATTGGACGACTGCAAAGAGGAATGCTTGGCTCAATGACAGAAAGAGATTAAAACTTTTGGAATGATAACAAAGAATAAATCTTTGCTTTCTTTTGTTTATTGTCGCAGTTGTATCCGTAGTAGGTAGGTACATGTTAACATGCTTATCGACGCAATTACTTAATTGCAGGTCATGATTGTTTATAGCCATACTAGGCAATGTTTATTGTGTTACAAAGTCAAATTCTAATGAGTCAAGCAAGTCTTAGGCATTGAACCTAATGCGTTGATGTGGTTGGTCTAAGCGATTAATGTCAACTTAAAATTCCTCAAAGTAGTTTCTTAAATTATATTTGTTCGACTTGTATTAGGATATTGTGTGCAGTGCGCAATAAATTATATGAATGTTTCCTGGTTGGCGAGCTAGGCTCCGTACCGTGCACTGTCAACATTTTACGTTAGAGCAATATCGATCCTGCGAGGCTTACTTCAGGTAAGCCGGCAGCGGGACCAGAGTTTATCCCTTAAATTGACTTGAACATTCCTAATATTCCCGGCGACATCCTATTAGATGTGTAGAAGAGAGAATATTCACCTGTAATAACATAGGTCTCCCTCGGCTGCAGAGTTACCCCACACAAAGAATCCTGAGACGGTGTTAATAGGCGGCCGGATTGTAGAGCCACCCTCGCTTTCGGCGTCGCCTGCAATACAATTACATTATCTTTAGCTCACCAAGTAAATAGAACAAGTTTTCTAAACTTTCATTTAGAACAAACACGTTAGTCCAGAATCAAGCTATTGTATTCAAATAAGCATTGTAGGTCATTCAAAAATTACTTAAGTGGTTATTACGTCCCATGTAAATATTTCAGTACTTACTTTGTAAGTGTTTCGAATCTTCAGTTTGTATGCGTCGTAGAAATCTTTGCCAAGAAATATCTTTTGTACTCGACCAACGATCACTGAAAAAATCAATGAACCAAATTATTTCAGAAACAAGCGTTACAAATTCTAATATCTAGACGAAATTGTGTATAAATTTATTCAGTAAAATTAATTAAGTTTACCAATATTCGCTAAGTCTTTGAAATATGTTATTTGATCGTACGTAGATTAATTATTCACAGAACATTAACTTAGGGTAGTGTTTAATTAAATGTAACTTACCGAAATCGCTGTTACAAAAGTGTGTCTGTGGGTGTGCGGGCGGGCACGTGCAGGCGTCGGCGAGCCGACAGCACGCCACCACCAGCGCCAGCGCCAACCACCTCGTCAGCATGCTATATCTGATGCTCTGCAACAAGACAACACTATTGTAGGCGGACACGTCTCCTTATTACTCCAAAACAATGTTCACATACGACATCTTAGCTTGTATTCTAAGAATTTCATTGTTTTGTAACAGTCATTGATCAAATAAATTAAATGATATATGCTATCAGATCGACAGTAACAACACAATACGACAGTTCCTGATTCCTGCCGCTGATGTATATGTTGTTTTGCCATAATAACTAACGATCCGTTTTGAATTCCACAAAGTTTGGCGCACGTACATTCGTACATGCATGTTGAGTAACCATCGTACCACACTCGTAAAACAAGATGTAAAGAACTCTTACGAACTTTAACGCGGATTATTGAGTTTTTATTTGGTATGTTGCCCGCAATGTTGTTGTACAATTTACGGATTTTCTTTCTTCTCAAATATTTTTATGTACATTTTATTTATTTTATTTTTATCGCGGATTATCGTGGCGAGCGGCGTTGATTAATGAAACGTATGCATCTGTGCGATGCGCATTAGTTAAGGATATTAAAAATATGACTAAAAATAACTTTAAATTGCAAATACCTATCATAATAAATGCTCATTCAATATGTGTTCTAGATACATACATAGCCGAAATGCCTTTACCAATTACGTGTGTTCCACTTTTATTACCTCAGAATTACTTCAATACATTATCTACAATGAAACCTGAGCCTACTAATTTATTACAGCAAAGGTTCGAAGTCCAAGCAATAGAATTGCAATAAAGCATCTTGTGACATGTCATTACATTCTATTGATCGATATTCCAATAAATTAAATAGAAAGCTGTTTATGAAGGCATCTAATCTAATCTTATAAGTGATATAAGACTTCACACTTTAAATTAATTACGTTTGCGAAGGAACCCATCAATTTGTATCGCGGGCGAGGCGAGGCGAGGCGAGAGCATGTTACGGATAATTTATTAGCTTAACCACCTCTGGGCTACTGCGCGATGATGTTCGAGTACTGTGACCTACATCGCGACCGACTCTTGTTTTTGTTCCATTGATACTTTGTTGTTCTATAACACGGCGATAAACTTTTATTACCGCACCTCTATTTTTTGCATTGACGAGAATAAACCTCCGAGCCGCCATCGCTATGTCATAACCTCTTGTTCATTGTTACTTTGTACGGGGATTGTTAAAGCTTATCCGACGCTGAGTGAGTAGAGCGACGTGTCTACAACCACGGATATTGTTACACGAGAACTTCTTTTATAATTGTTGACGTTAATCCGTTTTGGTCACATTAACTCACGCCCTGTGATTCTTTTGTAAGAGGATTACACTAGTTTTACATTTAAACTCAATGATTCCTCATGGGGCGTGTCGTATTCTTATTTAAAAAATAATGTTTATTGGAGAACGATAGCTAAATTATATTTTTCAAAGTTCTGCTTTGGTGACATGTCGGATGTTAATATTTTATGTATATAAGAGACACGCAAAACTGGTTAACTCTAATTAAACTTTTACTTTTATTCGCATCAATACTAACTCCTTTTATGGAATAGAATGCAAACGAGTTGTCGGATCATTATTATCATAAGTTAATTAAATCAATACTAACATCAGGCTAAGTTGTAGGTACCACTACTAACATTAACGATTGTTTATCTAAAATAAATTATTTGAATTTGAATTGTAATCTAAAAACGATGCAAACTGTAGTATACAAAGTCGCAAGTCGCATGTCTACAGTTATATCTGTGCTTAGCTGTTATTCATCTGAGGTTATTATAAATATGCTTTATAGTTAATATGTTAAAGCTTAGTCGGGAACAATGAGCCCTCTGTTACAAGCTTCGCGTGGGAGTTTAACTCGTCGTCTTAGTACGGAAGTGCGCCAGAGTTGATTGCCTTTACATCACGCGATCTAACCTTTACTTCCACTTCAACAAAAAATAATTACAAATTTTCGGCCATAAAACAATAAAATTAAAACACAAATTAAACTATAGCCATCAATTAACGATAAATGGTCAATAAAAATGACTAATTTAATTTATAGGAGACAGAAGATTGGTTTTAAGCGCTACAACCAATAAAAAGCTTGGAACCATGTGATTATGTTGTAAATTTATAGCTCTGAGCTAACAATCTGTGGTGATTATTTAAATGCAAATCAAACTTTCTTATTTGTTCTTTAAATAAGGTACTTGGAATACGATTAGATTTCTACTGAAAGTGAGACCTATACCAACTACGAGTATATAATTTTAAAAAATGTGCCAGTATTTCAATCGAATTGAAATATTCCTAGAAATGATTAATGTAATTTAAATCACGTTAATTAACATTCAATTAATCATTATTGATTCTACGACAGTAGGTCTACTATACATGTTGCGAATATTAACATCTGGATTTTCTCAATATAATTTTCCTGCACGGACCGCACCTGTCAATCAATGCACTCATTAAAATTAGATACACAGTCACTTAATCCCGGATTTATTAGGTATTTACGATCTAATACGAATTTGATAGAATGTAATTGATTTATTTAAGATTTATTTCATGTGTTAAAACGACTAGTTTAATCTACTCACATAGATGCGAGATGCACGTCACATGAGTCACTGCGCTCCGGTCGGCAGAATCCTTACGATTGCGTTTTTATTCAGTGCTCATACCTTTTGTACCCCTACGATGAGTGCGGTATAATCCCGCTCTGTATACAGATTTTGGATACAAATCACAATGCGGAAATTTTATGGGTGCATTCCCATAGTCGCACCCGTGGTTCCGAGCGCGGGCCGCTGCAACAATACCTCGTTTGTCAGGGTTCGTCGGGAAACCTGAGGTGAATGTTGACATTATGTGTTTATACTTGTTTACCGACATCCAACATAAAGCGCTGAGCACGTTTGTAAAGCAGAAATAAAATTATATTGGTTCCCATCGTAATAGCTTCGATTGTATTACCGAACAATTGAACACCCTATTCGATCTTTTTTTTTTGCTTCGCTCACACAACGATTTAAACCACTTCAATGTGTCGGACATTGTTTATAAAACATTTATTTCATTATCTATCTGTATAAAAACCATTTCCTACATTTTCCTACAAGAAGAAAATGTTTCTGAGAATGCATATCTTGCGGCAACGTTTAAATACAAGTATTTATCACATATCGCAGCTATTTATTGCATAGTAAAATGTCTGTTTTCTAATATTGCTACGCGTATAATGTTTATGTCCATTGCTTTGTTAAGGCTTGGGTAACAAACGATTGACCCTATCCATTCTTTGCATGGATATAAACACTCGAACAATGGGCCCACCTCGTAATATTCGTCGTCTTGCCAAAAGATTTTCAAAGATGCCTAATAATGTGTGACCGACATAAATATTGTTAGGTTGCATTGCTCATATATTATAATTCAGAACAACTATCAACACGTTTTTGCGCCGTTTTTTACTCGCCTACCAGTAACTGGCATAAAAACTTGACTGACAGGTGTTTTTATCGATAGGTAGCTAATGTTACGGTAACTACAGCTATCTGTTGAAATAAATTGGAACACGTCCCTTCACGGAACCGGAGAGTGACTAAGTGGATAGCGCATGGATACAATCCATTCTATTGTTTCCCTACAAACAGAAAAGATAAATCATCGGAACTTTTATCGATTGAGGAAAGCATTTGTTATCAGTACTCGTATTCTTCCCAAATAGTGTCAAGTTTGACTCTCCTTACACTTAAGTTTACTCTCTCACGGCATGGGACAAATTTAAATAATGTGACAGGAAAATTGGGTACACTTATACCTAGCCTACCCTTTGCTTACCCACAGGAGAAAAACAGTACAAATATAGAAATTATACTTAGGTACGTATTCAGGTATAATTGGTCTCTATAGCTGTAGTTAATATCAAGCCATTTCAAATTCAACGGGAAAATATGAAATATTTCCTATGAATGGTAAAGACATAAGTATATGTATGCACTGCTGAAAGTCATTCAACAGGTATTATAACATTATATTCACATATTTACCTGTTTATTATATTTATGTAGATGTGTGAGTGAGTTACTAACATTCTGCGGTTTTCGGTCAAGGCGTGATCCGAATTGCGGTTTGCCCAAGTTAAATAGAGTATTAAATAAGTTACTTTTTGTATATTGAACTTGGTACGTGGAATACTTATTAGTTGGAAGTTTTACGTGTAATATAAGTCTGAATAGACTTGAGTATTACTTCGATATTACTTGGAAGTTTCAGTAAACTTGAATACAAAATTTTATTAATACAATATTATGTATTTTTTCCACAATAGTACTCTATTTATTAAATTACCTACTGGTAATTTCCTGTTATAGGTACACTCATTGTTAGTGGTATAGACAATACAATTCTGAACCCTGCCACTTATTAAGCACCAAAATATAATTCTCATTAATTTATAAGTACTGTTACAAAGAATTCCTAATTTGAAAAACCCAAACCAAAAACATGCGACACATGAAGCACTAATTTTGCAATAATACCTACATAAATGTATACTGTAGATTGTTCCAACCGGGCGGCAGATCTGAAAATCATTGGGAGAGGCCCATGTTCAGAAGCGAACGTGTTTCTACTTTATACAATGATGTTAATTGTTTAATTGAAAATTGAAGAATAAAACATTTTTGTTTACACATAACATCACGCCTTTAATCCCCGGAGGGGATGTCACACTCACTTTTCACTATTTATGTTATGAGTTCCATGTAATACAGGGTGAGCTAATTGCCATATACCGGGCACATTTCCAGGCTCCGTGCTACTACTCAGATGTGAGATTTTTTTAAAACCCAGTATTACTTTGCCCGACCCAGGAATCGAACCCGAGACCCCTTGCCCAGCAGTCGCACTTGCGACCACTCGGCCAAAGTCAAGTCAACATTTTTGTTTACTTTTATATAAATCTAATGAATAGTAGCAGACAGAAATCAGCAGTCTACTTACATTAATGTACAGATT